TTCGAAAGATATTTTTTAGTATTCTTAATCCTGAGTTTCTAAAGAGGGAAAGTGCTTTGCCAATGTTGCTATAGGTTACCTTTTAGCATCCGTAGGTCTGACGTGGCATCAGAACCCAAGCAATCAATCTTATGATCTCATCGTGTAATTTAGGCCAAACAGTTGTTGTGCATCATTGTATGTTCTTTTGTTGATCTGGGTTAGTGGTATTAGTTATGCGTCCTTGCATCATGTATTTGTTCACTTAAATTATATTGCAAATGAAATACCATGAATTATGTTTCCGTAGCTAGATGCTTCATATTCATGAGCCTTGCAGCAATTATTTAATAATTAAGATATAAATACATAAATACAGGAGCCATTCCTAATGTTGCTGTCATCCCTATTGCAGAACAAGTGGCTGTCATCTATGCAAGAAATGCAAATGTGAGACTCAGAACGCATTGTGATTCTGTTCACGTCTTTTTTGCCTCTTCTTTAGGACTCAAGACCTTTCAAGGCTTAATTTGCAACTTTGTACAGTATACTTAAGTTATAGATTTTTTTGAGAAAAAAGGATGAGGAGTATATCATCAACTTATAGATAGTTGATTGTTTTAATTCTTTTTTGTAGATCTTGTGTCCAAATATGATGCATTTATTCATTCAAAGCAGCATCTAAATAGGTTCATACGCTACCTTATTTTTTTAGAGGAGTTTTTTTTTCCCTGAGAGAATAACTGTATGCGACTGCAAGTCATATAAATTGTCTTGGTAATGTTTCATGCAAATTGCTGGATGGTTTCAGTTAATTTCTGGTTGCATATTTCATGCTCATTTCTCCAGAACAGTTTTGAGTTAGGTGCTAAAATGAAATCGATTTACATCTAAAGGGCACAGCCAGATAACAGTGTATCAAGTGTAAATGTAACAGTTCAATTACATCCATGATATTAAAAATATCGAAGAATTTTGAGTAAAGGCAAGTTTTAGAAACTCTCCTGTTCGAGGTCCAGTGAAACTTATTAAAATGTAAACTAACAGCCAAATTTAGCTACGATGCAAATATGAGTTTATCTGCACAGAATATTTGTGCAAGTCCCCATAGCATCTCTCTCAAGTAGTTTCTTTTTTTCCTCGCGAACGTACCCAATTTTATCTGTTATGTTCATCCTAGAGTCCATGTAAATTTGGCAAAATTGCAAAAGATAACATAATTGAAAGTTATTGAAATAATGTAATTTTTTTGTGTGTGGAGAAAAGAGGTACAAAGTCTAGTTGGTGGGTGCATATGACCTCAAGTGATGTCTAATTTGGCATAACATTCACACTTTTGAAGTATCTGGATCTGGTTGAAAGCGATTCAAATATTCGCATTGTAATGTTTTATTATCTTATGCCAGGCATCCTCTTTATATAAAAGATCTTCATCTGCAACTTTAATACAAGAGATGAAAGTAAAAATTACTAGATCACAATCATATTTCCCCATCCCAAAGTTCTTCAACACTTCTGTATGGGCTGTCTGTTTCATTCACCGCAAACTCCCCTCGCAGCAACCTTGCCTGTATTAATCATATAAAACCTGTTCTCAGAAATGTACAATGTAAGTGATGAGCATTCTTCAAAGTATATTACCTGTTGTATTTCTGCAAACTTTGCATACAGATCAAGAGGAATGGACCAATCAAAAATATCGAGATTCTCCTTTATTCGACCTTCATTAGTGCTCTTTGGCAAGATGCTGTGACCACTCTGAATTCCCCAACGTAGAGCAACTTGAGCTGGTGATTTGTTAAGCTTCTCCGCAATTTCTAACAGTACGGGCTCCTTGAGAATTTCACCTTTAATCCATGAACCCGGTGATCCTAATGGCGAATATGCCTGTATATTTACACAACAAACAGGAAGAAAAAAGAGTTTTCATTTGGTTTCTTGTTGCTATTTGACATGAAAATAAACATTTCAGTCTGTAATGATAGTTCGAAAATGGGTAAATTTCACAAAACCCGCTGAACTTTGGGGGGTGTGCATATGACCTCCTTGTAAACGTTATAAATTAGCAAAACCCCTTGGTTTTAGCCGCTAAACTACTTGATTTGTTTTTGACAGTTTGCTCTTACATACTTAATATATTTTCTCTAATTTATAAAGTATTAGAGGGTTTCGTGAGGATTTGGTGAAATTTACCCTTTGGAAAATTTTGCATTACCGAGAGATGGATACCAGTCGACTTGCAGAAGTTATGTAGCCCAGGCTGCTGCCATACTGGATGACATTCAACCTGATTAACAGCCGGAGCAACTTTTGCAAATTTTAACAAATCTTGAAGTTTTTTGGTAGAAAAATTGCTGACTCCAATAGCCCGAGCTTGCCCTGATGCAAATAATCCCTCCATCGCATTCCATGTCTCGGATAAGCACAATGGCAGCATTGATCCTGGCTCGAACCTGTTTGACCCGGGCTTTGTTCTAATTGGCCAATGGATCTATATGTTGTTTTTTAAGTTTAATTTCTCAAAACGTATCATTGTATAAAAGTAATTTAATTGTTTAAAGAATGTTAGCATACAAGATAGAGGTCTATGTAGTCAAGTTGGAGATCTTGCAGAGTTTTGGTTAATGCTTTGGCGACATCCTCAGGTGCATGATCGCTGCACCTGTTTACAGAATAAAATAGCAAGATAAAATAAATCATTATTCTTTACCTAATCTTGATATTTGAAATTAACATGTCAAAGGGAAACTACATTTACAATTTGGTTTCATGGCCTAATATTTCTTCATATGCTGTACCCTTTCTTAGTATAAGATTCATTAGTTCTGTCACTTCTCATGATGTAAATAATACTAGCACCTAGCAAAAGAAGTGTAATATAAAGAATTTATAGCATCTCTTAAACTAATTTCATTAAAGTTTTTTGAACAAACGGATGCACTCAATCTGATTTTGTATTTGTTTAATTTACCAGAGCTTAGAGGTGATCCAAAGTTCGCTGCGCTTAACCACTTCAGTACAAATCAAATGCTTTAGTGCAGAGCCAACCTGCAGAAGAACAACAACCATTTGAAAAAAAAGAGACTGAAAAGCTCCACATTTTATACATAGATTGAAAAACAACCATTAATGATTAAAATATAGTTAATGTTTAATGCTTGGTACAATAACCAGGGCTTGAAAATTTATTGCTCGAGAGGTAAAGTATTTGAAAGAGGGGTTCATTCCCCCTTACTTCTTTTTCATTGCCATAAACTCTGGCACAATCAATATGTCTATATCCAGCCTGCAAAGGAGAAAAGAAGATTTTTCAGCCTGTAAATAAATAATCACCATTCGAGTATTTCGAGTATTTTATAGAAAGAAATGCTTTTCGCCATGAATAATATTCAAATTGCTGAGAAACCGATTAACACTATATTATGAGGAATTTAAGGAACGTGCTCTAATTCATTAACCTCTAACAACCGTCTTCATTTTGGTATGACAACATCGCCTTTCGCTGAACTAGAAGATCGACTCGGAGCAAGTTGACATCTTGATTCAAAAAGCGATACTAGTTTTTTCGTCTTCTAATTTTTTTCACTTGGCTCCTTCTATTGTTCTTTTCCTCTAATCAATAAATCCCCTGGACACCTTACCCATGTTACTAAAAAATAATAAAAAAATCCACTAATGTCTGCCAATTTTAACTTTTCCATAACATTAGATTCCTCCACAATGTGAACAAATTTAAGATGTTTGCAGTCTTCTTTTACTTGTTACCTCATGTTCCTCACACCATGTGATCTCAAATTAACCAAATAGAACGTGTCAATAGACTAATGCAGATAAATCCATGGATCTTTCAAAAACAATAAATAATTGATTAAAAAAATTAATTAAAACCTGAACAGAAATCGAGAAAAAAATATGGAAAAAAAAAATCAGACCTTGACAGCAGCAATGACAGCATCACCAACCAATCCAGGCTCAGCCTTCCAAGTCCCCAATCCAACTGATGGAATTTTTGCACCGGTGTTGAGTTCAAAATACACAGGCCCACGCTCGGGCTCTCCTCTTATATTCATCCTTCCTCTTCTTCTGCTATAAAAAAAAAAAAGAGGAAAAAAGAAAGAAAAAGAAAAAGATTAAAAATGGCACAAAATCTAACTTATTTCACTTTGTGGGAAAATAGCCAACAAAAGCATGCAGTTGGTTTGAAACTACCAAGAAAATGAGGAGGGTCAATCCCATTTCTCTCGGGTGCATTTTTATCCATGCAATAGTTTGAACCTGCCCTTGAATTTCTCCTCTTTATTTTCTTCTTCTTTTTATTTTGGGGTGTTCGAGTGAAAGACTTGAGCTTGTAATTTTGTATTCATTCGGAGTTCTATAATTTACAGTTTGTACAGTCAGATACATGTACAAGGAATTTACAAGCGTCTCCAGCTAAAGAAAATAAATGTCCTTTTGTCACCTTCCAAAAGAAATAAAGTTTCTTTCTTTGTAAATTTAAAAGCAAAACAGTCAACAAAGAAAGAAAGGAAATACTCTTCTGAAAAAAGATTGGCATCAGCAAGTATGAATGGTAAAATACAATACTCCAATGATAGAAAACAGGGTAAACTACACTAAAACCCCATGAACTTTCAGCATTTTGCATTAAGCACCCAAGAACTTTCAGAAATCACACAGTAAACACCTAATAAAACACACTAAATCCCCAATAACTTTGTAGAAAAACCCAAAGTTAACAAATTTATTTTTTTATTCCGGGCTTATAGAGAGTAATTATCCCCAAAAGTTAGTATTGTTACATCTAATGTGACGCATGTAATTACCCCCAAAAGTTAGTGTTGTTACATCTAATGTGATACATGTAACCCACATAACTTAGAGAGACCAAAATACCCCTCAAATTATTATTTTAAAAAAGGAATCTCTTATTTTATGACCTTTTTATATTTTCAACTCTAAAATAAAAATCTCTCATCTTTTGTCATTTATTTCCTCTTTCTTGCGCCCAGGTTGAGGTTTTGAACCCTAACTTTTTTCCGTTTTTAGCACTGTCCTTCTAAATGTTTTTTTATTTTATTTTCATTTTTTTTGTAATTTATGGGGGTTCTATGCAAAATGCGGAAACTTATTGCGGGTTTCCTCAGGAATAATAATGACAATAATTATAAGTATTTAAAGATCATTTGGGAAATTGAGAGCAGCATCAATACCGTATTTTTGACCAAATATCATAGAAAGAAAGAGATAAGGAAACAAGCCCTTCCTTTAGTGATCAAACACTTCAACAGGATCCGCTGAACTTTGCAAAGAGAAATATCATAAATTTGTCACCCTGATGACATAAATTAATCATTCCACAGATCACAATATTTGATCACATATATCAGGTAACACACTTCAATGACCTAAGTGACCGCATGTTTGCCACGAGGTTCCTACTCAAGATACAGCAGAATCTCAAATGACAGAAGAAGGGGAAAAAGAGAACTCTTAAACTCTATCCGACGCAAAGCCATATCTCGATCAGCTTCTTCTCGGTCTCTCTACGCCAGATTCCAATGTTAAAGACCCAATTATCCTGTCAACATAAAAGCGTTGGTCAGCGATGTCATCATGCCAATAACGAAATCATCAACATTATGATTCTATAGGCATCAAGTGCATTTAATCACATCATAACATCAGCAATCCCTCAGGATTTGATGTCAGAAACAAATGAAATGCTGACAATTAAAAGTTGCATCGGATGAATTTAGGAACTTGACAATTGGGTAACAGACCATTGGATTCGCAAGCAAGCTTTGCCAACATAACTTTTCCCTTTTTCCTGCCTTCCAGAAAAATTATGATATCAACACTTGGACCAAGGTTTGTCGCACTTTGTAACCCACCATTGTTGAGATCATATTAAGAGAAAAAAATCTGTTGCATTAATCTTAATAATTTTTTTTTATTTAGTCAAGTCCAGCATTTTCTAATTTTGAAAACCCATCAGTTCAAGACTTGTTATTCTAGGCTGCAGATGCAGTATTGCAAATGATCTAAACAGATAATAGGACTAGACTAGAGGCAAATTCTTTCTTTCTTTTTTTCCCTCTTTTTTTTTCAATTCACACGACTTCATTGACCATTTATTACTTATATGAGAGAAAACACATCCAGTTTCATGGTGACAAAAGTTTTCATATCAAATCACTGGGATAGTCTTTGCCGTATGGTAACTCAATGAGAACAATAAAATGCAAAAAATTCCTTGTTTAGTAATAACCAATCAATGTTAAAAAGTATTGCATTCTAAGCAATCTATAAAAGTCTACACGCTTCTACACACTCCAAAGCTAGAGCAGTATTCAACAGCTTGTTTCGGACATATATTCATAACGAGCATGCAGCCATCATTATAAGAAATCTGTTTACTATGTGCTCTTTACAGTTGAAAGCTTCTTCTCAAAATTGGCATTTCTAGTCGCAGAAGCACTGAAAAATAATAAATCAAAATAAATTTAGGAATTTCAACCCTACCTCGCCACTGAAAAATGAAGAATGACTAGATTTCTCCATCCCAAAGCTCCTCCGCACTTTTGTAAACACTTTCAGGATGAATAGCAAAGTTTCCTCTAAGGAGCCTCACCTGTATTCGTCACAGAGAATGTATCAGACTTTCTAAGAGTAAATTCAATGGTTTTGCTGTATTAACTGTTTCCGCAACTCATAGTCAAGAATCCCACGTCCAAATGTCACAAGAAGATAAACAACCAAATAAATCTTGAAGGTACTAAGAAGTTTGGACCATTTTGCAAAACCCCCCACAAAATTTGGAAATGTCACTTAACCCACAAACCATTTTCAATTAGCCCCCAAAATGTAGGGTGCTATGTGACTTATGTCAAAATAGATTCAGAAAAATGCAAAATTTTGGGGGTTATCTCAAAATGGGCTAAATTCTAGTGAGGTTTGTGAATTTTAACCAGATCTTGAATTTCGACTATATTGTGCAGCTTAACAGAATAAAACCATTCTTGCCTGTTCAATTTCAGAAAACTTTGCTAACAAATCATCTGGAATACTCCAATCAAAAAGATCAAGATTCTCCTTAATCCTTGCTTCACTGGTGCTCTTAGGCAGTACGCTATGACCCATTTGAAGGCCCCATCTTAAAGCAACCTGTGCAGGAGACTTCCCCAACTTCTCTGCAATCATACTGACAACTGAGTTTGTAAGGACATTCCCCTTCATCCATGTGGTTCCAGGTGAACCAAGTGGGGAATATGCCTGCAAAGGGGAAAAAAAGGAAAAATGAGAAAATGTTCCTAGATTAAGGTTTGGTTTTTTTCCCGCCAATATTGGCCCCTTACATCTTTCATATTTTGAAATTAGTCCATCAAATCATTGAAATTGCTATTAGGTTCCCCAATTCTTCAGATATTTTGAAATTAGTCCCTTAAATCATTGAAACTACTATTAGGTCCTCCAATTCTCATAAGTTGTTTCAAATTAGTGCCTACTTCTGCTCTTGAATGGAGGGAGTAATTAAAAATAACTTAAAATTGGCGGGCCTAATAGAAGTGTTAATGATCTAAGGCTCTAATTTCAAAATAACTTAAGAAATGGGGACCTCGTAGCAATTTCAATGATTTGAGGGACTAATTCAAAATGCGACATATCTAAATGGACTAATATTGAGAAAAAACCAAAATTTTAGACGGAGCCAACTTGGCAACTTACAGTGAGGTGAACACCCTTTGCATTGCATACTGCTTGGAGTTTACTCTGCTGCCAACCGGGATGACACTCCACTTGGTTGACAGCTGGAGGAACCCGTGCAATAGCAAGCAAATCTTCCAACTTCTTTGAAGAAAAATTGCTGATCCCAATTGCACGAGCTTTTCCTGAATCATGCAATTTCTCCATTGCTCCCCATGTACCGGGCAAATTTAGTGGGAGAATATTTTCAGGCTTGAGACCAGCACCCTTTTTAATAGGAACTGGCCAATGAATCTTCAAGAAACATGCGACAGGAAAGGTTATACATTATATAACTATCCTGTGGAACAAAAGAGTTACCTACACTTCAATTAAATAAAAAGAAAAAAGTTCAGAGGCTACACTATATATTGTGTGCATCATGATAGCGATGCTTGAATCATGAATGTAGTATAGACCACAATATTTCATCATATGGATGCTATTACACAAAAAATTAGACTTTTAAGCTAACGTGGAAAAAGCTGGAGCACTAAGCATTCAGCATGAAGTAACACTATTACAGAAATGCTTCAACATTGTAAGGTTAACTCAGCATTCAGCACGAAGTTGTGTTATACAGATGCATATCCATAAAGAATATAACTTAAGAGAACCTTTTAAATTAAAAGGAAGTCAAGCGGGGAGGGTAAACTAGAGAGCCCATGTATGCAACTATAGAAATACTAGAAAGAGTCTGTGCAATTAAAAACTGTGGTGCAATATGCCCTCAAATCATAAATAGTAAGCTCCCTCATAAAAGCCGAAATGTCGAGTTGGCGGAAATGTAGGAAGCCCAATCTTACATGCCAATTGCTCATAGAGTTATATTTGCAGAATCTGACTTGCTGGTAAGGAAACAGGGAGGAAACCCAATAGGATGGTGCTTCTAACCATGAAACACAGTATCACAAAAATAGGTGCGCTGGAAATAAAACATCAGATTGTAGGCTGTCTAAAAATCACAATAGATAGTTGATCCCCCATCAAACACCGATGATGGAAGTTACAATCTGACGACTTCCAGAAGGCTACAATTTGAGGACTTTCACGTAGAAGGTTACAATCTGACGACCTTCACGACAACTGATGAAAACTCTAATTCAACAGCCTTCACAATCAACATCGGGAGTTACAATCTGACGACTCTCATATCCTATAACAGGCAAGGATCAATAAGCAATAGCCTTTGCAATGTTATAATGGACGAGGTTATAAGTCAACAACCTCTCTCAAATGCAGAAATTAACTTCTGCGTTTCTTAAATTCAAAACGCACACAACTTGGGCGTTCCTCAGCAGACATAGAACTCTGTAACGCAGAGTTAAATCACAAAACGCACACATAACGTGCGTTCTTATACAGACTCAACCGTGTCCCAAACTCTAGACGAAGAGTTGAATTAAAACAGCACAAAATGTGCGTTTTCAGCCTAAAACAGGCTCAGCTCTGCGTTTTCAAAATCAAAACGCAGAGTTAATCTCTAAAACAGCACGAACTGTGCGTTTTCAGCCTTTAAACAGGCCTAACTCTGCGTTTTCAGCATAAAACGCAGAGTTCGTCTCTAAAACAGCACGACTTGTGCGTTTTTAGCCTTTAAACAGGCTCAACTCTGCGTTTTCAGCCTAAAACGCAGAGTTCATCTCTAAAACAGCACAGACTGTGCGTTCTCCAGCAGACATCTAACTCTGTGACGCAGAGTTAAAGCACAAACGCACACATAACGTGCGTTCTTCAACAAACTCAACTATGCGTCCCAAACTCTTGATGCAGAGTTGAATTTCAACGCACAAGCGACCTGTGCGTCTCCAATTCCAGAACGCATGCGGCCTGTGCGTTTCAAACCTTTGACAAAGGTTTAACTCTGCGTCTCAGGCCTTAGACGCAGAGTTAAGGCACAGAACGCTGTTTTTAGCGTTTGACTCGTTCAAGCACGATTTGAACGGTTCCAGAACTGTTTTCTCCCCACGATTTGAGGAGATCACTACCCTATCATGGAGAGATTCATGGGGGGAGTTACACCCCATTAAACCCTCATTAAGGAGAGATTTAAGGGGACGGTTACACCCCTAAATCTCATATAAATAAGGGGAAACTCAACTGAGTACGGGGCTTTTTTGGTTGACTTTTTTGGGGATCCTTGATCGGGCATCTTTGAGCTTTCTGCAGCAAAAGAGAGCTTTAACGATCGACCACAGGAGTATTCCCTTGGCTTATAACCGACTTTCGGTTCAAATCAATTCTTTTTCAAGAGTTCAAACTCGTTCAGAGTTATCAACTCGATCAGAGTTCAAAACTTGCTCTGCAATTTCTTCTAAAACTCGTCCAGAGTTATCAACTCGATCAGAGTTCAAAACTTGCTCTGCAAGTTCTTCTAAAACTCGTTCAGAGTTATCAACTCGTTAAGAGTTATTTTCAAAACTTGCCACGCAAGTTCTCCACAGCGTCAAATCGTGAGGAGAAGACAATGTTCCAGTGAATCAAGACGTTCGGATCGTCAACGAGAAGCAAACTCGACGCGAGCATTCGAGGAAGACATCTCATCTCCACCGTGAAGAACCCAGAATTAAACAAAGGGGAGAATCAAATTCATTCTCCTCTCTTTTGTAATCGGAATCCAAATTATAATTGATTTTGAGAGGAATACAAGTCAAAATTTTCTTTCATTGTCTTTTTACTGCAAAAATCCAAATTATAATTGATTTTGAGAGGAATACAAGTCAAAATTTTCTTTCATTGTCTTTTTACTGCAAAATTTCCTACAAACAAAAGATGACGACTCTGCTGGGGACTAGCTTCTCTGACGAAGAAGTGGTGGTGCAATCCGACGTTCATCTCACTGGAACGACCGTTGAAACTCTGATTATCGAGTTTGATCAAGCCAAGTACAAGGAGGCCATCTCCTCCGGGTCCCTTAGCCCCAAGGCTATGCGCAAGATCCACAAAGTTTCCGAGGAGACTAAAGCTCCAGTTGTGACCAACTCATCTAAAGGCTATCTCCCATGGGGGTTGTACTGTTCATACAGTCCACTCTCTAAAGGAGAAGACTCGACTTCGGCACAACGCCAAAAAAGCCGATCCTCCAATCAACGCGAACTCCGCGTTTGTGAGCCTCAACATGAGCTCTGCATATGCCAAGCTAAACGCAACCCTCAGGTGTGCGTTTTCCAGATGGAACGCAGCCTTCAGAGGCGTGTTCCAACTTCCAACATTTAAACGCAGAACTGCGTTGATTTGGCAGAACGCAACTCTCAGGAGTGCGTTTCAGAACCCAAACGCAACTCTCAGGAGTGCGTTCTATCATTTAAACGCAGACATCAAATCTGCGTTGATCTGGCTAAACGCAACTCTCAAGAGTACGTCCCAGAACCAAAACACAACTCTCAGGAGTGCGTTTCACAAACTGAACGCAACTCTCAGGAGTGCGCTTCACAAACTGAACACGACTCTCAGGAGTGCGTTTTACAAACTGAACGCAACTCTCAGGAGTGCGTTTCAGAATTCGAACGCAGATCGCAGGACTGCGTTTCACTAGCAAAACGCAAACTTTGGTCTTGCGTTAATCAAGCTAAACACGACCCTCGTGTTCTTTCTTTGGAACACGATGTGATTCGTCGTGTTCAAAATAATCAACATGGATTTAAAATTCATGTTTTCCAAGAATCAGTTTCATCCTTTAACGGACATGGGTTCCATCTTTACCCTCACGCTCCGTGAGAGGTTCATCCCAAGTCTCTGACTTGCGGGAATTGCTGTCGATGTTCAACCCACCGACGAATGTCGTTTTGCTCAATAATCGACGACATCCTCACAGGAAGAAGACTTTAGAGGATGAATACCTTGGAGTCACTTCTAACATGGTTGGTAGAGGGAGATCATCAACCCTTATTTCTGACAAGTCAGAGACAGATCGTTCTCCAAACGTCAGAGAAATCACTAACGAGTTTGAAGAAGTCTACCAACGTACTCGGACGCGAACAGGAGCCATTCCCCCTGTCAACTATCGGAGTTTAGCCAGAGGAACTAATTCCGATGACGAACACTCAGCCATTGCGGAGTCTCAATCATCAAGCTCTTTCGTTGGGCATGAGAGATTCGCCCATATGGCAGAACATTCTGAAGATCTTTCAAAGAGGATTGATGAGCAGGAGGCCATGCTCAAATCACAGCAGGAGGCCATCAATGAACTCATGGCCATGTTGACTCAAATCGTCGCAGACAAGGCCAAATCTCAGGAGACAGATTCGCCGCTTAGGAAAGAATCTTCCCGGAGAGGAAAAGCATCTTCATCCCGACCTCACACAAGCAAAGGGAAGGAAAAAGTGGTTGTTGATGCGGCTTCTGACCAAGAAGCCCACAGCCTGGAATCTTCCTCTGATGAAGGAAGAGAGACTGAGAATGAGCAGAATCTTCAGTCTGCCAAAATGAAAGAATTGGAAGCCCGCCTCAAAGCCATTGCTAATAGAAGCGAGCTCCAAGATGAGGGAGTTATCAGACCCTATCCTGCCGAATGGGATGTAGCCCCTTATCCTCCAAAGTTCGAGGTCCCGACGCTACAAACTTTTGACGGCACCGGATCACCGAACCAACATATTTATCATTTCAAGTCACAGACTGGAAATGTAATATCAAACGATGCCATACTGACTCGATTGTTCATTGGCACCCTTAAGGGAATTGCCTTTGAATGGTTCAGGAAACTGCCTGCGGGTTGTATCCAAAAGTGGGCGGATCTAAAGAGACTCTTCCTGTCAAGATTCTTTGAAGAGGATACAGAAGTCTCTATTCATACCCTTCTCGCTACTAAGCAGAAGAAGAGGGAGTCTATCAAAGCCTTCGTCAAAAGATTCCGAACCATGGCTCTCCGGTGTTCGTCAGGTATGACACAGTCTCCTTTAGTAGAGACTTGTCGACACAACTTGCAAACCAACCTCCTAGCCCGAATAGGAGTTGCAGAATGTCGTTCCTGGAGACAACTAATCTCTCAAGACGAGCAGGCTCAAAAAATCATTGTCAGGATCAAAGCTGAAGAACAAAGTAGGCAGGATCAGCCCGAGCAATCGGACCAAGCCTAATCTTCTCCTGAGCAACCGGACCAGGCTCACTCTTCCCAGTCAGAAGGGAAAGATACTACGGCCACTGAAGTCAATCCTCTTCAGTAGGATGGCGGGTCCAACAACTATCACGTTAACAGTTAACTCTGATAGTCAAACTCATCAGATAATGGTCTACCTGGTGATGTGACTCTATTCCGACTTCATGGATAGTGCCCCACTAGGTGATGTGTCTTGTCTACCTCTTTTTCCCCTGCTAAGTCTTAATCAAGACTGGGGGTTGATTACTTGGAATCCACTGGATTAAGAGTAACGAATCTTTCACATCGTCGAGTTAACATTACACTTCTGACGGTCATAATCACCACAGAGTATGCATTCAGTTTGCATCACTCCCAATTTGTCACGTTAACACTACATCTCTGACAAAATCAACTTATCGACTCTCGTCAATAGAGCGATAAGTCTTCAAAGTTGCTCCGATCGCAACACCAATCTTGTCACGTTAACAATACACCTCTGACAAAACCCACTTGTCAATCCTCGTCAATAGGATGATAAGTCCCTAAAGTTGCTCCAATCGCAACACAAATTCTTGTCACGTTAACAATACACCTCTGACAAAACCCACTTGTCAATCCTCGTCAATAGGATGATAAGTCCCCAAAGTTGCTCCAATCGCAACACAAATCCTGTCACGTTAACACTACACCTCTGACAAAATCAACTTATCGACTCTCTCCAATAGAGCGATAAGTCCTTAAAATTGCTTCCATAGCAATATCTTTCTTGTCACGTTAACACTACACCTCTGACAAAATCCACTTATCGACTCTCTTCAATGGAGCGATAGGTCCACAAACTCGCCAAGTTAACACCACACCTCTGACGACCAAAATCCACTTATCGACTCTCTTCAATGGAGCGATAGGTCCACAAACTAGTCAAGTTAACACCACACCTCTGACGACCAAAATCCACTTATCGACTCTCTTCAATAGAGCGATAGGTCCATAAAATACTGTTAGGTTAACATAACACCTCTAACAGTCAATCCCCCCTAATGAACTTGTTAATCCCTTTTTCCAACAAGAATAGCAAGTTTTCATTATAAAATCCCCAGCGGATTAAAGATTTTCTAGAATTATCCTAGTGATAATAAAGAAAATTTTTAAATTTCACTTTAGGTGAGAATTCATGCCAAGTTAATACTATACCTCTGGCACTTCCAACTCTCTTCCGGTGTTTCAAGCCACACAGGAAGAAACGACACCAAAAATCCATGCCTTCACGCATGGGGGACTTTATCTTGATTCCTAATTAGAGATGAGTCCACGCCTAACACGCGTTGCCGGTTAATCTTTCGCCGTGAAAAAGACACCAGGATTTATGCCTGGGGGAATTTATCTCGGTCCCTAATTTGAGATAAGTCTGCATCTAACACATGCTGCTGGGTGGTTCGTTCCCACGAAAATGACCAAGCATACGTATTTAATATCGTAGCAGGTCGTTATTAATAACGCCAAAATCAATGCCTTATACGTATGGGGAATTCTATCCTGAATCCTAAGTAAGGATAAGTCAATATCTAGCACATGTTGCCGGGTAGCCTATTCCCGTAATAATAGCAAAGCCTACGTATTCAATATCGTAGCAGGTCGTTATTAATAACGTCAAAATCCATGCCTTACACGCATGGGAAATTTTATCCTGAATCCTAAGTAGGGATAAGTCAATGTCTAACACACGTTGCCGGTTAGTCTTTTACCGTGAAAAGGACATCAAAATCCATGCCTCACACGCATGGGGGACTTTATCTCGATCCCTAATTAGAGATAAGTCTACGCCTAACACGCGTTGCCGGTTAGTCTTTTCCCGTCAAAATGACAAAGTCTATGTATTCAAAATCATAGCATTAAGACTAAGAGAGTTCATTCTCTTAGCACAACATTACATGTGGAACGGACTTAGACAATCCACATGCTAGCCCGACTCAAACGGTAGTCGATAAAGGCTTATCAAATCCGTTGATGGCTGAGGATTTGCCAAAAATCCTATGCACGTTTGCAGGTCCATCAGCTTAATGGATGTGAGCCGAGACTTAAAACAGATGCGCCAAAGACAAGCCTCAAAGACTTAGTCAAAAATACACGGAAGCCACTTCCATGTCTTAAGTCAGAACGCCGAGGTCACACCCGCATTCCAAATTCAACATGCAAAGGTAAAACCTGCATCTCAAGTTCAAAATGCACCCCCCACCTTCCAGAAGCAGGATTATGGCGCATACCTTCACACAGGTCCTGCGTGAAAAATCCCTTCAACCAAGCTGCCTTCGAAGCGAGTGCAGAGAACAGCTCTTTTGTGACAAGGAATCAACAACTTCAAGATCAGAGTTGAGATCCAAAGTATTCCGAAAATTCGTCCCAGTCAACCGCGAACTTTCGAAAACTTTGGAGGGGGTTCTGTAGGCTGTCTAAAAATCACAATAGATAGTTGATCCCCCATCAAACACCGATGATGAAAGTTACAATCTGACGACTTCCAGAAGGCTACAATTTGAGGAGTTTCACGTAGAAGGTTACAATCTGACGACCTTCACGATAACTGATGAAAGCTCTAATTCAACAGCCTTCACAATCAACATCGGGAGTTACAATCTGACGACTCTCATATCCTATAACAGGCAAGGATCAATAAGCAATAGCCTTTGCAATGTTATAATGGACGAGGTTATAAGTCAATAACCTCTCTCAAATGCAGAAATTAACTTCTGCGTTTCTCAAATTCAAAACGCACACAACTTGGACGTTCCTCAGCAGACATAGAACTCTGTAACGCAGAGTTAAATCACAAAACGCACACATAACGTGCGTTCTTATACAGACTCAACCGTGTCCCAAACTCTGGACGCAGAGTTGAATTAAAACGACACAAAATGTGCGTTTTCAGCCTAAAACAGACTCAATTCTGCGTTTTCAACATCAAAACGCAGAGTTAATCTCTAAAACAGCACGAACTGTGCGTTTTCAGCCTTTAAACAGGCCTAACTCTGCGTTTTTAGCCTAAAACGCAGAGTTCGTCTCTAAAACAGCACGACTTGTGCGTTTTTAGCCTTTAAACAGACTCAACTCTGCGTTTTCAGCCTAAAACGCAGAGTTCATCTCTAAAACAGCACGGACTGTGCGTTCTCCAGCAGACATCTAACTCTGTGACGCAAAGTTAAAGCACAAACGCACACATAACGTGCGTTCTTCAACAAACTCAACCATGCGTGCACCTATACCTAACAAAATTAAGTGAATACCCAAAATTGTAGTCATTTTATTTCTATCTTTCCATCCCAAACTCTTGATGCAGAGTTGAATTTCAACGCACAAGCGACCTGTGCGTCTCCAATTCCAGAACGCATGCGGCCTGTGCGCTTCAAACCTTTGACAAAGGTTTAACTCTGCGTCTCAGGCCTTAGACGCAGAGTTAAGGCACAGAACGCTGTTTTTAGCGTTTGACTCGTTCAAGCTCGATTTGAACGGTTCCAGAACTGTTTTCTCCCCACGATTTGAGGGGATCACTACCCTATCATTGAGAGATTCATGGGGGGAGTTACACCCCATTAAACCCTCATTAAGGAGAGATTTAAGGGGGCGGTTACACCCCTAAATCCCATATAAATAAGGGGAAACTCAACTGAGTACGGGGATTTTTTGGCTGACTTTTTTGGGGATCCTTGATCGGGCGTCTTTGAGCTTTCTGCAGCAAAAGAGAGCTTTAACGATCGACCACAGGAGCATTCCCTTGGCTTATAACCGACTTTCGGTTCAAATCAACTCTTTTTCAAGAGTTCAAACTCGTTCAGAGTTATCAACTCGATCAGAGTTCAAAACTTGCTCTGCAATTTCTTCTAAAACTCGTCCAGAGTTATCAACTCGATCAGAATTCAAAACTTGCTCTGCAAGTTCTTCTAAAACTCGTTCAGAGTTATCAACTCGTTAAGAGTTATATTCAAAACTTGCCACGCAAGTTCTCCACAGCGTCAAATCGTGAGGAGAAGACAACGTTTCAGTGAATCAAGACGTTCGGATCGTCAACGAGAAGCAAACTCGACGCGAGCATTCGAGGGAGGCATCTCATCGCCACCGTGAAGAACCCAGAATTAAACAAAGGGGAGAATCAAATTCATTCTCCTCTTTTGTAATCGGAATCCAAATTGTAATTGATTTTGATAGGAATACAAGTCAAATTTTTCTTTCATTGTCTTTTTACTGCAAAATTTCCTACAAACACAGATACATAAAATACAGTATCATTAAAATACGTTTAAGCTACGTGACTTGAATGTGAGCCATGCATCTTGAATGTGAGTTTTAAAGGTATTTTTGGACTTTAAGTAAAAATTTTAACTGGGAGGTGGTTGATTGGAACAAAAATCCACTTCAAAGGTGGTTTACATATAAATTGAAAGTAAAATGTGCTTCTGTATAATGACCCTATTTTTAAGATGGGTTTTGGGAGGGGGGGGCAGCCCTTAAAAATAACGAACTTATTGATAACAAGAAAAAACCTTACTAGATGCTCAATTTATGGAAGGTCAAAGAATTTAGGGATTGTGAGCACTGAAATACTGAATAAAAAAGCAGATCCAAAATGAGTAATAAATTATAGTCCCTTAGCTGAATATATAAACTTTATACTTTTGACAGTATAAAAAAAATAATAGATCATGCAAATAGGAACATTACGAGGTAAAGATCCACATAGTCGGTCTGCAACTCATTCAGAGTATTTTCCAGTGCCAATGGTACATCTTCTGGAGCATGATCAGCACACCTGCAATATTGTTTGTATTCTGTACATAAATGCTTGCAGTCTATTAAGAATAAGTTGGATAACAATCGGATGTTCTTATAAATTGTATTTTCGAGTGTATCACTTGTATAAAAACTCAAACAAAAAATCCATCGGATGTTATTATAAATTGTATTTCCGAGTGTATCATTTGTATAAAAACTTAAACAAAAAATGTAAATCCAAACCATAGCTTGGAGGTGATGAACAAATCCTCGCGCTTCACAATGCCCTCTTCATACAGCTTCCGTAGAGCTGAGCCTACCTAAAATTCAACACAAAGTTCAGTGTCCTAAAAAGCTCGATAATAAAATTTTGCATGATCTTCTCCACTTTTACACTTATTACAGCCACCACTAGATATTAAAAAAATATAACATGAAACAGAGTAAGGATTTACCTCAGTCTGATTGTTGTATGCTGCAGCACAATCAATATGTCTGTATCCAGCCTACACCAACATCAACGCAAGTTAACCAAATAAGACATTGCACCACTATCATGAACTATTGAGGGTTTTTCAAAAGAATGTCATAAACTATATCTTTCTTTAAAAAATATATATCTGGCTGGTGGCTAGGCAGGAGCTTCATAAAACATTGAACATATCACGCTTCAATGTCATAAACATATCACGTTAGTGTACATTGAAGCGTGATATGTTCAATGTTTTATGAAGCTCCTGCCTAGCCCGTCTAGGCTCCCACTAGGTCTAGCCGGTACTTAGGCCACCTAGGTCTTGAGAGTGTCTGGGGAGCAGAGACCGCTTATGCAGATTGCACAACTAAGTCTTGATCGTGATTTCCTTTGTTGTTGATTCGTCCTCTGACCTCCTCCGAACTCATCTGGTCTCCACCAACTACGAACACCTCCTCCAACCTTAAGCAAAACCCCCTTCTCCGCCACTTAATTAATAAAAAAGAAAAAAAAGAAAAGAAACCCTCATAGGCTTTGATTGCAATTAAAAAATAAAAAAAGAAAACACGTTAGCCTCGCTTAGACTTCTGCGTAGATGCGTTGGCTCTGGGTGCCGGCTCTGACGCCTAGGCCGCCTAGCGATTTCTATAACATTGGATACCTTCATAACATTTTCAGTGTGTTTGGGAGATGACTTAGGGAAGGGAAGGAAGGAGAAAATGTTCCCCTTCCTTCCCTTCCTCTTCATTACACCTTAATTTGAGGCGTAAGATTTTGGCTCAAGTTTTCCCCCGTTCCCCTTCTCTACCCTCCTAAATGGAACTCCCAAACAAAGTTAAAATTAGATTTCTCTTACTTTACGTAACTACTCTCTCAATTCTCATCCTCTTACTCTTTTTTTTAACTACTCTTTTTTTTAACTACTAGGGTTACTTTACGTAACTACTAGTTTATGCCATTTTTGTGCGGAAATTCTACAATGTCATGATGTGAAACAAACAGAGAAAAATACAGAGCAATAAAAAATCATCATATACACAAGCGAGACAACCATCGCTCGAACATCAAGATCCCAAAGATCAAAATTGTGGGCCAAAAAATCGAGAAAAAAACCCGTAAAAATTCCAAAGATCGAACCTTGACGGCGGCAATTACAGCGTCTCCGACGACCCCGGAATTTGCTTGCCACGTCCCCAGACCAACCGCCGGGATCTTAGCGCCGGTGTTCAGTTCAAAAAACATCGCCATTGTCTTCGTATCGAGAGAGAGAGAGAGAAACTGCCGATTTGACGAAGAGGGAACCGAATCCAATAAATAATGGAGCAGGGAGAATCTGAGGCCGGTCATTGGGCTTCTATTTTAATGGGCTCTCAGTCCAAGTGGACGTTTTTGTCCCCTTCAGCGTGGAATCGTTGGTTTGGGCTATTTGATGGGCCTGCCAAGATGCCTTCCGTATTAAATTTATGAGGTGGATGCTCAAAGATTGGGTGTCAAATCTACTTAAACTGCTAAGCTGACATTGACACGAGTTGGGAATTTGTTTGCTCAAATCTACTTAAATCCCATTTCGGTAATAACAACCAATATTCACCTACAGCTGACAATGGGAGGACACCTTGTACACACTATCAAAACCTATGCGAGCGTGACGCTCTGAGCCACACAAGAGATACAAAATATTTCTCAAACTATCTCCTACCACCCTTCGAATTGACTTATAAGAACATCTTTGCAAACTATCAGATGTTCTGCCAAAATATTTTCAAACAGCGAAATTCAACTACTTACAACAAACCATAATGATAGAAATGGAGGTATTTCTTACAACAAAAAAAATTATAAATTTAATGACCAATTCAACTAATAGACGCCTACCCTTGTATACTTGCTGTCCCTCGCTTATTGCCACTAATCCTTAACGTGTCATTTTAACACCCGCCGCACCCCCCCCCCACCCCCAACACCACCCAACCCCCATCCCCCCCACCCCACCCCACCAATATCTTCGACCTAGGGAATGATTGATACATCACTAAAGTAAAATATTCCCTTGAGAGTCAATAATGTGGAAATGGTTGTGTCATCATTTTCTAATAGTGGGTTTCGTTTCATTGTATGAGGAAAGCATTAATTTGTCGCACTATAAAGGCTAATAGTGTGGTCCGTGCGTGATGAGAGGAAGAAGCCACAGCAAGGAGAGGAAGCAGTAGCGACGGGTACTCTCTTTAGAAGCGTTAGGGTTTGGGCTTTTAATATCTGGGCGCTAATAAGTTTCAAATACGTCAAGTACAAGTGGGCTATTGAATTCTATGGCTAGGTGCAAATTTGTTTTTTTTTTTTGGGTGGGTGGGGGGTGGGGGGGGGGGGGTTGCAGATTTTACTTTTACAAGCGTCTCAAAGATAAATTAGCCCCGATCGATCGACGCGACAAGGCTTGATCCGGTCCACTGAAAAGCCTGTAGGAATCGAGTCCAGGAAGTTCACTCTGGTCAGTCGACCGACACAAGTTCATCGGTCGACCGACGCGAACTCAAGAAACTTACAGGAGTTTTGGGTCGGCCGACCGATGACACTGAGTCGATCGACCGACAACATGCACAAGTATACTGTAAGAAACAGACGTTATAGTCGGTCGACCGACGCTATTGCACCAGTCAACCGACGTCAGGATTTCCAGTTTCCTAATTAATTTGGGAAACTGTTTTGGGCTGAGATACTATATATACTTTGATATGTTTTTAGAGTTTGAAGAACACGAAAAAGAGATGTTTTGGCAGCTCTTTGAGAACATGATGTAGGACGCTTAATCTGAGTTGGAGTCTATTTAGAGTAGGAAATATAGTTTAGAAAATAAATTCAATTTTAGAGTCAAATTAGATTAGGAAATAAAATCAATTTTGATTCATGATTTGTTTCCTTTATTATAAGGAGTCTTTTTAGGATAGAATTTGATACTTTCTTTTTTTGTAATTCTAGTCTTACTAGAAGTCTTATTTGATACTTTCTATTTAAGAAGAGTCATGTAACCCCAAAGGAGAATAACTTTTTCATCAATAAAATTTCTCTTTTCAATATTTTCTTCGTGGATTCGAAGTTCTTCGTGGATTCAAAGATCGTTCTTTGTGAATTCAGAGAACACCTTTGGTGGATTCCAAGGTTATAACTTTCGCGCTGCGTCAATTGGTATCAGACCCTTGTTCCTCCGATCTGATGGCAGGTGATGAAGCCCATATTTCTCGAACTGAGTTCGACGTGCTGAAGACCGGTGTTAATCAGATGAAGACTGTCGTAGAGCGACTTACATCGGCAGTGGAGCGTCTGAACACGGTAGGAGTTCAAAATCGTGTTGATGGTCGTCATCGACGTGATCCGACTCCATATGATAAAGTGAACAACGATAATTATCTTAAGCAAGACATTAGAGTTGGGAAGAGCAATGAAGAAGTAATAAAGAAAGAAGAACCACCTCCAGAGCACAATATCTTTCGTACGAGATGCACCGTGATGCAAAAGATTTGTAATGTTATTATTGACAGTCACAATGAAAGGAATCTTGTCTCTCGGCGTATGGTGAATAAGTTAGGTTTGAAGACAGAAACACCCACCTCTCGTTAAGATCGACTGGATTTACAAGGGTAATGATGTGCAGAACGATGAAGTGTGTTGGGTATCTTTTTCTATTGGTCGAACTTATTTTGATGAGGTTTTGTGTGATGTTGTCGAGATGGATACTTGTCATATGCTTTTAGGTAGGCCATGACAATTCAATAATGGAGCTACCCATAAGAGCAGAGACAATGTTTATATCTTCAAGAAAGATGGACGACGAATTGTGCTCAAACCTCTTACAGAAAAGGAGCCATCTAAGATAAAGACTATTGAGAAGAAGGAACTCTTCGTGACAAACAACGATGTTTTAACAGAAAACTTGAAGCAGTCTGAAGAGGTCTGTGACTTGGTTGTAACTGAAAAAGAAGAACATGCCTCTACCGAAATTCCTCCTAAGGTGCAAACACTCGATATGCATGAAATGCATGATGGTGATATGATAGTGAAGATGGATGATATGCATGATATTCTTAAAGTGGTTGAAAGTGATATTCAACATATTGATGTTGTCCCGATAGAGGAGAATGATAAAATAGAGAGTGAGACAATTGATGGTGTATGTGAATTGCTTGGTGGAGGGCTCGAGGCAAAGAAGATGAAAGAATTATGTATGGAGTATGAGGGAAAAAATTCTTTTTTGGAAGCAATGATCATCAATAATTTTAACAACAATGAGATGATACCGCCGACACTAGAATATGGAAAGCAGCAGACAAAATATTTAGAAGAGTTTTTCATGTCAACTACAGATCCACATGCTGTCAGTTACATACACTTATCATGGAAAAGATTCATACACAAGTTTGATACAAAAGAAGTCCTAGCAGAGGAGGCAAAAGAACAAATAAAGAAAATCAATACTAAATACAAGGCGGATGCTGATCATTGCAAGAGAAAAAAAATTATTTATCAATGAAGCTACTATTCTAACAAATACAAGCTCGGGGTCGAGCTTATTTCAACAAGGGGAGACTGATGTAGGACGCTTAATCTGAGTTGGAGTCTATTTAGAATAGGAAATATAGTTTAGGAAATAAATTTAATTTTAGAGTCAAATTAGATTAGGAAACAAAATCAATTTTGATTCATGATTTGCAATTTTAGAGTCAAATTAGATTAGGAAACAAAATCAATTTTGATTCATGATTTGTTTCCTTTATTATAAGGAGTCTTTTTAGGATATTTTGATTCATGATTTGTTTCCTTTATTATAAGGAGTCTTTTTAGGATAGAATTTGATACTTTTTTTTATATAATTCTAGTCTTACTAGGAGTCTTATTTGATACTTTCTATTTTTTGTAATTCTAGTCTTACTAGGAGTTTTATTTGTTTTTCTATTTAAGAAGAGTCATGTAACCCAAAGGAGAATAACTTTTTCATCAATAAAATTTCTCTTTTCAATATTTTCTTCGTGGATTCGAAGTTCTTCGTGGATTCGAAGATCGTTCTTTGTGGATTCAGAGAACACCCTTGGTGGATTTCAAGGTTATAACTTCTGCGTTGCGTCAGAACAGAGATTTTAGAGAGAGAGAGAGAGAGAGAGAGAGAGAGAGAGAGAGAGAGAGAGAGGCCAATTGCGATCATTGTAATATTCTTCAATTAATCAAAGTTTTCTAGTGTGGCTCCCAAGGACGTAGGCACGTTTGTCGAACCTCGTTAACTCTGGTGTTCTCCTGTTTGATTACTTTTTCTTGCAAGTTTTTTTCTTTTATTTGCTATGCTTTCTTGCTTGCTTACTTTCGACACAAGATCTGGAAGGGCACGGGTTGTGTGTTCAACCCCAACAGATCGTACTGGTTATGGAGTTATTAGTGATAACCCTGTCTTTTATTTTATTATATATTTCTTTTCTTTTCTCTTTTCTTTCTTTTTTTTTTAATCCTGGAACTGAAGCAAGCATTCAAACCTTTTCCGGGTAACTGCGACCCTATCATTCGCAGCAGCGTGCTCTCCTGCAGGTGGGACCGTTCTGTTTGTGGAAGGGATGTAGATTTCTGCCAGTTATTTCCTCAAATTGATTGCCACAGTTATGAGATCCCTGCAGTCCTGGCTTCTGCGTTGTGTTCAGTCCTAATGTTTTGGGCCAGTGGCATTGCAGTCCAAATACTGGTGCAGGAGTTTCAAAAGTATCATGATAACCAACTATTGTTCGCTTAGACTTCAAGTCTTCAACTATCGGCTTAAGCGATGTAGCTTAATATATACTTGTTATAGTTAAGATGACCTTGAAATCATTCAATCTGATGATATCGAAGTTACAGGTGGTGCTTTCTTGCCACTTACGAGTCTTAATTAAGATCTTGCGCGTCCAGGAAAATCTCTTTGATCACCTGGTTCTGTTCCGCACTTGCTCTTCTTTCTCATTTGGCAAGATTTGCCATTATATATTGTTGAAGTGTGTGTGCTTTCTGGACTACCCTCTTATGCAGTGGGTTTGACACTGGAGATCCCGTTAGTAGAAGGTTCTCCTAAAACTGCCAGAATCTAATGGCTATGCATATGGAAATGACAGGAAGTCCATGTTAGATAGAGTATAAAAGTGCAGTCCCGTCACCAATACCGTAGAGTTTGGTGCAATGGAAGGGACTTTAATACAGTATCGGAAATTACAGGGTTGATGTAAGATGTTTAATCTGAGTTGGAGTCTATTTAGATTAGGAAATAAATTCAATTTTGGAGTCAAAT